TTAAATACAAATTAGAAAATAAATTCATCTAAAATAAATTTCATTCATTAAATAAATATAGAAAATAATATACAATAGTTTTATCTATAAATTTTATTTATTTTTTATGTTCTTTTTAAAAATAATTGTAATTTAACGGGAAACTGTTATACATTATAAGTTGTAAAAAAATATGTAAATATGTTATAATATAAAAGTTTTAAAACTGAAATTTGACGGGAGATGTCATACATTTTTAATTTGAAAAAATAGATTAATATATAAAATATGTTTAATAAATTTTTAAAATTAATTCATTTGGATTCAACTGAAGTTCGTTAACTCACGTAGATGTGAGCACATATAATATAAAAGTATAAATTTGACGGGAGTTGTCATATATTTTAGGTTTGGAAAAATAGGTTGATATCTAAAATAGATTTAATAAATTTTTAGAACTAATTCATTTGGATTCAATTGGGTTTGTTAAATCATCTTAATTCACGGGTAGATGAGAACGCATCTATGAAATACTGGCTATAAATTGTTAATTTTAATATTCATCTTTTAAATCTTATATAATTGAAGTTAGTGAATAGTCTGTATGATTTATTATAAATACATATTAATGCTTAAAAAACAAGTGCATATTATTAGTCTATATTTATTAGTCATGCCGGTAAAGAACATAGATAACATCTTTTACATCCCTCGAATGTCTATGTCACATTTTGAGTCATCGTGACCATTTAAGTTGATAAGGAGAAAATTCCCAATTATTGTCTCTAACGCAATGACAATTAATAAATCCCAAGGCCAATCACTTGATACCGTTGGATTGTATTTGCCTACTCCTGTTTTTAGTAATGGATAATTGTTAGTAATGGACAATTGTGTGTAGCCATTTCAAGAGTTACAAATAAAAGTTGTCTTAAAATCTTAATACATGATAATGAGAATGTATCATCTTCTATCACTATAAATATTGTATACAATGAAATTTTTCAATTGCTTTGTTAATGGGTAAGTACACGACAACACAAATATTTTTGTTTATAAATTATTTGCATATTTGGTGTCTGATTTTTGCACAAATTATCATGCAGACTAATGAGTTGAAAACATCAATGGAAAGCAGGTTGCTTCATATCTAAAGTTCAAATACGATATTGTTATCATTAATGTTATCGATGGAAAGCAAATTAATTTGATACACTAATTTTTTTTTCTAATTGATTGAACTTTGGTTAAATCATTTTAATATTTTAAATTTGAATAATATATACGAATGATACAATTCAAAGTTAGTTCTATATTATATGAAATTCGGATAGGACCCATGTGATACCACATATTTTTTAATAGTTGTATATCTAAAATCAAAACCATTGAACGAGCCCGCTCTCCTTAAAACAAAATTACAAAAACGCCTAAGGACATATGAAAACAAAACCACTGCTCTTATTCCATCTGAGTTATGTACAGACCCGCCGCCATCTTACACGTACTCCAATCCTCCGATTTGCGTGCAGATCCGCGGCGACGCCGCCACGCTCATTGCAATTGTTTGAGTTAAGAAGGTATTCGTAATGTATATCGTAGGTTCTCGATGGTACTGTACTAATTCCTTCTGCTTTACACACAGATCCGCAGCCACCTTATATGGACTCCAATCCTTCCGCTTTGCCTGCAGATCCGCGGCGACGCCGCCATGCTCACCGCATTTGTTTGAGTTAAGAAGGTATTCACAATGTATATCGTAAGTTCTCGATGGTACTGTACTAATTCATTCTGCTTTACGCACAGATCCACAACCATCTTACACGAACTCCAATCCTTGCGCTTTGCATGCAGATCCGCGGCGACGCCGCCAGGCTCACCGCATTTGTTTGAGTTAAGAAAGTATTCACAATGTATATTGTAAGTTCTCGATGGTACTGTACTAATTCCTTCTGCTTTACGCACAGATCCGCAGCCACCTTATATGACTCCAATTCTTCCTGTTGTTCCAAGAGCTGAGCGTTCTGATATTGTTCATGCATCAATTAGTTCATCTTATGTATGGGATCATTGCCAGGTTTTAACACTATAAAAAAATATGAGACTTCAAGAGGGAAGAGACAACACAAGTTCTAATGAACTAGCGGAATTTTCAAAATGGATTTTAAATGTGGGTGATGGTAAGATTTGTGAATCCAATGATGGTTTGGTTGATATTGAAATTCCTCAAGAGCTATTAATATCAAATTTTGATGATCCTATAAGAGCGATTGTTGAAAACACATATCCCAATTTGTTGGAAAAATATCAAGATGCTGAATTCTTACAAGGAAAGGCTATTCTTGCTTCAACCATTGAAGTTGTGGATAAAATCAATCATTATGTATTAGACTTGATACCAAGTACATGCGTTTTATATTTACTGTATTATTACATTCATAATATATATATATATATATATATATATATATATATATATATATATATATATATATATATATATATATATATATATATATATATATATATATATATATATATATATATATATATATATATATATATATAAGAACATAGTTTTACTAATTTATTTATGTTTTGCTTTTAAACTTTTTTTTAGGAGAAGAGAAAGAGTATTTGAGTTTTGATTCCATTGATAGAACATATTCAAGTTATACTGAAGCATATGAAGTTCTAACTCCTGAGTTTCTCAGTAAATTAAGAACGTCAGGGCTTCCCAATCATATGATCAAATTGAAGGTTGGTACACCTATTATGCTAATGAGAAATTTGGACCAAGCCGATGGGTTGTGCAACGGAACCAGATTAATTGTTACAAGATTTGCAAATCATGTCATTGAGGCAAAAATCATGTCTGGAAAGAACATAGGTAACATTTTTTACATTCCACGAATGTCTATGTCACCTTCTGATTCACCTTGGCCATTCAAGTTGATTAGGAGACAATTTCCGATTATTGTCTCCTATGCAATGACAATTAATAACTCACAAGGTCAATCTCTTGATAGTGTTGGATTGTATTTGCCTACTCCTGTGTTTAGTCATGGTCAATTATATGTTGCAATTTCAAGAGTTAAGAGCAAAAGTGGGCTAAAAATCCTAATTCATGACAAGGAGAATGTACCGTGTTCTACTACTACTAATGTTGTGTACAAGGAAGTCTTTCAAGCACTTTGATAGTTGGTAAACTTTATATCTTATACTTTACGATTCAAATTAAAAATCTATTTTGAATTAAAATATATAGTATGTACATTTTCCATGTATTTCAAGAAGTATATAATTTTTCCTATTTGTTCATGCAGACGTGATTTGTTGATAGGACTGACGCTTGCTACAAATATGGAGTTAAATGCCAACATGGTTTACATGAGACATATACTCAACTGAAAACATGGTAGCATACTTAATAATTTAATAATCTATAAATGTAATGTGAATCCAGACGAGACCCGTGCGATAGCACGAGTTTGTTACTAGTTATATTTAAAAAATAACTATAGTACTGTATAATATGTTTTTTTTATTGAGCATTACATAAAAAATCAAAATATAATAAATTGTTCTTTATTATATTTTTATAAAATATATAGTATTGGTTATTCTTATATTTTTATTTTTGATTTTGATTTTTTTGATATAAAAATGATTTTGCATCATTAATATGTATTAATAATAATTAATGATGTAATAAAAATGAAAATAACATATTAAATTTGTGAAGGAAATAAAAATAAATATTTAGAAGAAAAAGTTACAATAAAATTTATAATTCTAATTTACATTATAATTGGAAATTCTAATAAATTGAAAACTTAGTACAAGTTAATGGTTTATAAATAGAAATCTATTATTAAACACATCAAACATTTTTATAAATATTTATCATAAATCAATTAAAAACGAAAATTTGAAAACGTGATTGTTGGTTAATTTTTTTTTCCAATTGAAATGAATTGAAAAATGAGTTAATTGAATACATTTAAAATATTAATTTTACAGAATACATTTAAAATATTAATGAATTAATTTAATTTTATTTGGTTTTTAAAATTTGTTTTTGAATCAGAACATAATTTTTTTTACCACTTCTATAATAAATTAATTCTATCTATTAAGTATGATTTCTCTTAGATAAATAAATGTTATAAATTTAATAAAATGATACTTATTTTGAAATGTGAGAGTATATGATATTATGACACGATATAAGAAAAAATAAAATTGACTTAAAAAGATATTATCTTTTTTTATAATAAATGTTAATATTTATATTAAAAAATTGATACAAATATCTATTTTTATTAAAAATCATAAGACAATTATGATTGATGAATATATAATTTTTTTATGAAAACATAAATTTATCATCTTTTTTATATTTTATATATATTTTTAACCATCAATATATTATAAATTTCTTTCATGTATATTATTGATAACAAAGACATTTTATAATAAATTATAATTTTATTATAATTTTATTTATAACTTATAAATAATTCTAAAATATATTTTTTATTTAGAAAATTTTTAACCTTGCCTCACACCATGCACGAATTTTTAACTAGTAGACATAATAAATAATTTCAATATCTATTATGCTATTTCCCTTGCGAATCTCTCCGAAAACAAGCACAAGTTGTAGTGGGAAGGTTTATCTTTTGTTTGCTTGGGGAAGGAAACAGCGAAGAAAGAAAGAAACGGGTGTGACCAAAAAACGAAACTAACCTTTTGTTTTGCTCTGTCTACATCAAAGCAAAGAAAGAAGAAGCGTATATTTTCATTTTCAACCTTCACTCTTTTCCCTCTCGCTACTTCTCTCAAATCCTCTTACCCTGCTTCTCCACCATTCCGTTCCACACCTCTTCTTCACCTTTTCAGGTAAGCCCCTCTCTCTCACACATACCCCTTCCTTTTGTATTCGCACACTCACAACGTGTTTGTGAAAATGCCTCTACCAGATTTGATATTTTTATTTTCAACCCAGCACAGTGGTGATGTTGGTGGACGAGAGCAAGTTCGACGTGCACTTCAAACTGTGGGCTCTTCGAATACCCTGCCAATTTTGCAAGGCTGCCACTCGAATCCTCAACGGGTATCTCTATCTATCTGACCCCATTCTTTCTTTCCATGCGATTAGCTGCACTTTTTTTTTTAAATTTAATTTTGCTCTGATTGGTTGTGCAGTTATTTGCTTGACAAGCCTCGAGTTAAACCCATCGCTGAGGACCCAACTTTTGACAAAAACCGTTACCTTATACTCTCCGAGAAAGTTCAGAATCAAGGTATGGTTTTTTCTTGTTTAGAGTTTCTTTTCTTTTTATTATAATATAATGAATTATAGTTTTTTTTGTTGGGCCTGCTTATCTGTGAGTTGATTTGAACTGGATATGTTTCAGATTTATCCGATATTCCAAAGCAAAAACTTGATGAGCTTAAGGACTTGTGTGAGATTGAAGTTTTGCCCTATTCGTTGACACTAGGTTATTCATACTGGAGTGCAGGTTGGTTCCACTGTTTTCTTGAAGCTCACTGAAGAAACTGTCTTTTAAAATTATTTCTGGATGCTGACTTACCACCATCCAATCCATTTGTTGGAATTTTGTTTGAAGACCATGAGCTTTGTGTCATGTAAATCATCAGATCTTTACCCATAACTGCATGCTTAATTGCATATTGTAATACACACACATATACAGACACACCCATGTGGTGGGTGACATGTAGAGTTCACCCGTTTTTTATTGGTTTATTGGTGCTCCACATGTTTAAAGTATAGTTGAAGCATCAGGACACCAATACACAAGGCTGTGTCGTAAGTAAACCACGAATAGAGGTGCATTACTTCTTTCTGGTCTAAGTTGTTATTGAGCCCCGGTTTCTCCGTGTTGTGTTACTGTTTAATTGCAATATTCACAGTTTTGTCAATTGCGCATAGTGGAAAGTAGCGGATTGTTAAGTTTCTGCTATGCAATAGTGCTAAAGCGCTGTTATAGCGGCTTTTTGACAACATTTTGTACCCAGTAGCATATCACGGAACAATAGCGTTTTGTCCAAATTCCGCTGCGCTATAGCGGCTATTTAACATGAGTGTTCATATGTTAGTTCACGTAGAAACACTCTTTTCTAATGATTCAGTTGTTTCTCACATCATGCTTTCCTCTGCCCTACAAATATTTACAATTGTCTGGCAAATTATGTCTGTAGATCAAGTGCTGAAGCAGATACTACCTAATGGAGTGGAAGTGCCTTCATCTTTTGAAACAATAGTTAAGTACTTAGAAGTCATATAATTTTTTTAGTGGTACCAGTTTATGACCTGTATTGTTTTCTTTTACTCGTTTTGGATTCACTTTTGATAACCGCTATAACCTGTTTTACACTGTTTCATTGATTCAACTCATATGATACATTTTTCGTTCATAACAATTCCTTCTGAGAAAAGTAGCGAGCTTGTCAATTTTGTTAACAATTAAACCTGTTTGGTGCGCCACTGATTGTGAACTCACATCTGTCCTACTTATACAGGTCACATTGCTCACTTGAACCTACACGATGAATTACTTCCCTTCAAGGATGTTATTGCAAAGGTTATATATGATGTACGTATGAATATTTTAAGCGTACTAGTTTTATCTCCTTATTTCTAAAAAGAGCTGTTTCTGTATAGTTACTGGCTATCTGGTTTTTGGTGCACTAGTCTTGTTTAATTGCTAATGTTGAAACAAAGATGCAACGAGTGATGTTAATCTTTTCTGAATTGTGTCTTTTTAATTACTTTTAGTTTGTAACAGTCAGCATTTTGTCATCTTCTATTAGGCATATAAATGTAATTATTGGCACAATATGGAGAAGTCCCTCTTTAGGCATTAATTTTTTTTTATCCTGTTAGACCCCACACAGGAATTTAGACGGTAATGGGTTGTAGGAAACTTGCCTATGTGACAAGGAGTGTGGGAAAAGGAGTTAATTCTTTAGAAATAAATAAAGATAGAAGAGAGAGAAGGATCTAGGAGGGTTAGGTAAAAATTGAGTAAAGTAGATAAGTTTTCGATGGGTTGGGATATTTGGGTGTCCACAGAGTTTCCTCAAACTTCTCTTTCTTTCTCTTTCTTTCTTTCTCTTTGTTGTATTTTCAGAGGGCTACCTTTGTCTGTAAGCAGTTTAGTCACCCTATTTCGTACTCTTAATTCTGAGGTTCTGTCAGCTCCATTTGATGCTTCTGCCTTATTCTAGAACTGTTGTTTTGGTATTCACATTAAATTAAATCGTGTTTGAAACAAAATAAACAAAATGAATAATGGTATGTTAGTGTGCATGTTTGAATACCCTTTGCTACAAAATTGTCCTTTGCAAGATTAATTCACAAATTCTATCATTTAATGTTGAAAATAATCTTGTATACGTGTTTTGCCAAGTAACTTTAATGATTTCCCCTATTATGCAGAAAAATTATCCAAGAATCAAAACTATTGCTAATAAAGTTGGAAACATTACAAATGAATTCCGTGTTCCAGAATTTGAAATTTTAGCAGGAGAGCATGACATGATTACAGAGGTGAAGCAATATGGCGCCACTTTTAGGCTTGATTACAGTCGGGTTTATTGGAATTCCAGATTGGAACATGAACACAAGAGGTTAGTTTCAATGTTCCAAGCTGGAGAAATCATTTGTGACATGTTTGCTGGTATAGGTCCTTTTGCCATTCCTGCCGCACAAAAAGGATGCTTAGTCTATGCAAATGATTTAAATCCAGATAGCATTCACTATCTGAAGATTAATGCCAAAATCAACAAGGTTGATGATCGAATATCTTCATACAACATGGATGCTAGAAAGTTCATATCCCAGCTGATGGAAGTGCCAAATTCTGAGCATAAAATAGAAAATGATGTTGCCATTTCTGACACATCTTACACATGCAAGATACAAGACACTACTGAATCAAATTCAGAAACTGAGTTGCTAAGAGGTAACATGTTTGTAGTAAATAACTGCAAGTATCTATAATTGTGATGCGAGAACATGTTACTTGATACTAATTTTTCTCTTACAGTTGATACAAAAGACCTGGGAGACTGCTCTAACACTAACACTAACACTACTTTAGAGGATATTAAAGGTCCAGCAGGGCATACTGCTAAGTCCGCAATTGCTGTCAAAAGATCTTGCAGTAGTTCTGATGAAGGTATTCTACAGGCTACAATGACACATCAGGCTGCCATGACAAGTAGTTATCTGATCTTCTAGCTTCTAAAAAATCCTACTACTCAATTCTGGATTTAAAAGACAAAAAACCTTACCGTTTCCCCCATCTTCTGCAGAAATCAATACAGCATTGATAACAATACTCTGTAAGGTTGAAAGTAAAACTTACAGTTTTATTTTTGTTTGACAGGGAATGGAAAGGCTCATGCAACCGACATCCTCGAAGGTGGTGGCAAAAAAGGAAACACAAACAAGAAAAGAAGAGGGTTTGATATCTCTGTCGCAAAAACTTGGGAACATTTTGACCATGTAATAATGAATCTACCAGCATCTGCTGTTCAGTTTTTAGGTACAAATACAATAGCATTTGATTTGGTGTTATTAATTTCTATAAAAAATTATTTAGTCATGTATTACCTTAGACGAGATCCTTATTTTCTTCATATCTTAGTAGGATTCAGACTTGTCTTTATCTTGCTTTTTGGGTTAGTGAATAACTCTTCTGTATCAATCAAATTTATGAGGGATGAGGTCATTGATTGTTTCTCTGACGTCAACATTTTTTAATGATTTGGCCATTATAATCTAAACCACAATCTGTTCATGACATTATTTTTTTAACACTGCTAAGTTGTGCAGTGCATGTATGGATATTCTTTTGTTTGACCTTTTTTTGTTGCTATTTTAAAGATATAAACGTAGATATCTGACTACTGATATTCCCTGCCAGATGCATTCAGGGGATTGATCCAGAGGAAATATTGGAAAGGACATCTACCATGGATCCACTGCTATTGCTTCATTAGGGCAACCGAAACTCCTGAATCTATAATAGCTGTGAGTTTATTCTGCCGGTGTTTCATTTCCCCCCCTTCTGTTATGGTTAGAAGGAGTAGTATATTACAAACTTTTGGTATTCGTTTATTGAAAATAACTTCTGTCCAAGCATATGGGTTTTGCCAGCTACTTGGATATGGATACTAATCAATTATGTGTACTTACTAAGTTTTTTCAGACAGTTAATAGAACTTTATATTGCAGGTGGCAGAATCTGCTTTAAATGCTTCTATACTAGATTCAAAATTTCGTAGGGTTAGGGATGTAGCTCCAAACAAGGTATGATCAGTAATTCAACATAATATTTAGATCACATTGGAAACTCTTACTATTATTCTAGTTGATTTTATAGAACATGTATAATTATAACTATTTGTGGCTTTGCTTTTTTATTTATTGTGCAGGCAATGTTTTGTTTAAGCTTCAGGTTGCCAGAAGCTTGCCTTTGTGAAGATAGTCCATAACACTGTCCTTGGTGATGCTGCTGATGAGAAACTCCTTTGTGAAGACAAGGCCATGCCTGTGCTTGGATGAATTTAATGAAATGTTCTGCCCGACTCAGAGACTAGCATGCTGAAACATGAAAAACTAGCAAATTCTTCGAAGCTCTTGATGGATTTTCATTGTTCTTCAAATGTAATCTGATAATTAGATCAACTAAAATTAGTTATGTCCCTTTGATTTGAATATGAAGTTTTTCTTTTTGATAAATTTCTGAGTTAATATTGCTTTCGGTCTTCTCATATGGGGTGAATTTGGTCCCTGTAAAATAAAACAGATTTTACTCCTTTTATTTTAGATTCTTCAACTTTTGGTCTTTATTTGACTTAAATTATAAAAATAATAATTTGAGAACAAATCCAAAGCACATTATTTTCTTTCTCTAACCCCTTTCTCTCATCAACACTAACACCGTATTTTCTTCATCCAAATCAACAACACCTTCATACCAAAAATCTCAAAAAGATACAAAATAAAAAAAAAAATATCAACTCACAACCTCTCTACTTCTTTACCTGCCAACCTTGCCCAAATTGATTTTTTTAGCTAACCAAATCAAAGGAAGAATACCCATGATAGAGGTGAGAATGTGATAGACCAACTATCCGGGATATACCGTCTAACTTACACATATTTAGGTCAAATCAATTTCTTTTTATATAAAAAAGATTTAGACTTTGTTATAAGTAACGGCGACAAAACGGATTGGGTCTGTCGGGTTGACCCGTTTGACCTGTCATTTTTGACAGGCTGAGTTGAGGTTTTCGACTTGGTATCTTAAGTTAGTCCGCTCCGCCTAACCCGTTTAAAAAAGCGGGACGGAGCTGGTTTTTCTCGCGGACTTTTTATTAAAACTTGTACTCTTTTTATTAAGAATTAAAACAATTTTAATTATAAAAACAACACTTATCTCTTAGGGTTGTATTATAAATTATTATACAGACAAATTGAATTATAATTATAACGTTCTTTCTATAACTTTCTAATACATGCGTTGATTGAAAATTATTGAAATAAAAGAACATATGTATGACATGTATAATTATTAAATTTCAATATATTAGCTCATATGTTTTCTTTAGAAATAGATGTTGATTTTATGAAAAGGAAGGATTTGATTAGTGTATATGTGTGACGATTTTAGGATTTAACTATTAAAATATCAGTCAATATAAGAGTCTATATAATGTAAACAGTGAGAAAGTTCAGTACGCATTACTATTTTATGCACTGTGATGTTTAATGCAATGTTATTGTTATCATTATTGGTTTTGTGTAAATTCTAAATTAGATTATTTTAGTAGTTAGTTTTTAAATAGGATTAAGATGATATGTATTATTTATTTATTTTGATATTTTTTATTGTGCTTAAGTTTATTTATTTATTTTTGTTGTAATTGGTCTTTATTTATTAAATTTTTTGAATTGTTTGGACTTCAGACATCTTGAAGTTCTATTATGCGTTGTTAAAAAAATTTCTTTATCGACCTCTTTGGTAATAATTAATTTTTTTTCTAAATTATGTATTAAATTAAATTATAAAATTAAAAAAATAAAACATTGGCGGACCGGTCCGCAAACCCGCCAACTCGTTAGTAAATGGGACAGACTTGACTTTTGAGCTCGAACTCCTATGTTGGCCCGCTCCGTCCCGCTCCATTTTTGGACGGACTTAAATGGGACGGACCTAAATGGAGGACCGCCCGCTTTGCCACCCCTAATTATACGTCTATTTAATTAAAAAAAGTTAGACCATAATTTTTTTTTTTAAGTTTATCAAACCGCTTTGTTTAAATAAATATAAATTATTTTTTATTAGTACATTATATTTTATACTTAAATTAAAATACAAAAAATAAAGTTTAAGTGTTTTAAAGAATTTATGAAAATAAACTAAACAAACTTATGAACAAAGTCATAATTGTTTTTATAGTTCTCCCAAAATATGATAACTAAAATTCAAGCTATTCTCCCTCTCGGTGATAATAGTGGATGAAATATTTATTATTGGCCAATTGATAAAAAAGAAAAGTATATTATTTCATCAAGTTATAAATTAATCTGTAATTCTAGTATATAAAATGACGAGGATAGTTGGAGTTCACATGAAAACTTAAAGTCCATGAACGAATAAGGTTCTTTATTTGATTGGTGTATCATGGTAGGATAGTGATGACCAATGAGAGAAAAATTAAAATACAACTAAGAGGGCCCTTTTGTAGTTACTATGGAACAAAGGTGAAATCCATTATACATGTCTTACGTGACTGATCTTTGCATTTTACTTTTCAAACTAATGCGATTAAGTTGGATATGAGGAGCTCTTTTTTCACTAGTAATATTAAAGAGTGGGTGAATACTAATTTGCGTTTGAATTTTGGTATAGGGGAGATCCATCGTGGTCGGAACTTTGGACAACTTCTTACCATGCACTTTGGATGTGGAGGAATAAGGAACAATATGATGAGAATTTTTTGAGACCTAGAATTTTGTGGCGGCATGATACTAAAGTTGCTCAGGAGTATTTTTCGACCGCAAAGTTGTAAGGTAGTAAGATGGAGTTGACTCGAGAGGCTAAAAAAAAGTTGGACTCATTCTCCTTCAGATTGACTAAGATTGAACACGAATTAAGCTAGTAAGAATGACTTAATATTTGTATGTGGTGGCTTTTTAAGAGGTTGTACGTGTGAGTAGCTTGGAGGCTTCACAAGATATTTGATTTCTTGTAGTGCATGTATTGCTGAACTTTGAGGTGTGCTAGAAGAATTAAGATTAGCAAAAGAGTTTGAATTTCGAGGTAATGAGCTTCATATAGATTCAAAAGTAGTTGTTCAAAACATTTTGAATTCTAGATAGTGCAATATAATTGGTATTCTATTGATACAACAAATTCAATAGTTGTTTAAACTGAATTAGGAAATGCGACTTTGTCATATTTACCATGAGTCGAATACTTGTATATGCACTTGACAACATGAGATGTGACCTAGATCCTAATTTGATGCTTTATGAGCGAATTTCTCCTCAAATTTCTCTCTTTTTTTTAGCCGATTGTATTGGAGTCTCTACTCATAGATTGAATGTTATGTAATTTTTTCTTTTTGAGCTTTGATCCTCTTTCTTTCAAAAAAAATATTCTCCTGAAAGTATAGTCTCATAAAAGTTATGCTATTATATAAGATCAAATAAGTCGTTGCAAACACACATTTAATGTTATTGGAACTTTAATTTTTTAGTCTATTTAAAAATTAGTTAAATTGCTTATTTATATATATTCAAATCAAATAGACTTTAAGTAAGTTAATAGACCATCCAAATGTATTGAAAGGCTAGACTTAGAATTAAAAATAAATAATTACTAATCCCATCCTAATCGGTGGAAAAACCCCATATAAAAATCTGACTTTGCCTTCTTGATTCGAGAGATCCAACATACCCTTTGTCTCACTAAAACCATGACCCCTAAGTTGAGCCCCATATTTTATCCAAAGTTTATTCTGGATATACATTTTCGGAATAACTCCATGTACATCCCATATATTTTTCAATACAATACTTTTTTTGACATAAATTATTCTGAAAATGTATCTCTGTATTCACACCAAACAGAATTTAGAGATACATCTCTGAAAATCACACCAGACAATAAATTTTGACATTGATTTACAGATGATGAATTTGACGATATAATACACTTATACCATCATTTTGATCAATTTTATATCAATTATACCATACATCAATATGATGAAGATGACATATATATATATATATATATATATATATATATATATATATATATATATATATATATATATATATATATATATATATATATATATATATATATATATATATATATATATATATATATATATATATATATATATATATATATATATATATATATATATATATATATAAAGTAATAAATCTATAGTACACAATAAAGTTAAAATAAAATATAATCGCTAATAGTATTCTTAATACAAATACTATAAACACTATTGCATATGAGAGACTCAAGCTCTCCTGTTCCTATGCTGCCTCCTATAATGTATTGCCTCTCCCATCATGACACTTATCTGTCTACCCAATCTCATCTGATAATACATGTGTGTCCAATCTCTATGATACAACGACATCTAACTAACACACTAATAACATGATCTACCTTATACAAAATTCAAATAGAATGCTACATATTCCCTTAAAACACAATTTGCCTACTATGAAAATATTTAATCATATAGTTTTAAAAGAGCTTCCAGATTCATAACATTGCCATGATGATTCTATTCCAAAGCATGGATTATTCACGTCTGTTATATTAGAAGAGGAATAATTGTTTAGTCATATGTTTGTAACAGATTCTCTCCATATTTCTATTTTTTTTAACAAGTGTTCATTGCATAATCATGATTTACAATTTCCATGAAATGAACGTTTACACATGGTCGGTCTTATGAAGGTGCAAGAAGCACTACCGCACAGAATCTCCAAATTTAAAAGCCTTCAAATTTATTTTTTTGACTTATATATAATTAAATAATAGGTAACGTATGTACCAACTTTATATCATTTGTTTACGTATAGTCAAGCAAACGAGGACGTGTTTTGGAATTGAGATCTTGCGGGTTGAATCCCAAAAGTAAAATTTACAACTTAAAGATATTTCAAATTTTATTTTAATTTAATTTCTTTAAATATTTTATCACGCTGTTATAATTAAATAATTAAAAATTTATTATATAATAAACTCATTTGTTATTAATTTTTTATAATTAAAAATATTGTACAATATTATTTTTGGGTATTGTTTTCATTTATAGGAATGTTTTAAAACTTTAGTAAATGTATTATTTCATTTTATTTAAAGTATTATTAAATATAGTAAACTAATAAATTAAGTTATTTGATTCAAATGATTTTTGAACATAATTTAGCTTAATTTTTTTATAAT